GCTGCTGCCTCCTCCCTAATCATTCCTCACCTGAACTCCTGCAGCTGCTTCCTACCTGGTCTTCTGGTTTCAGTCCTGCCACACAATCATCATTCTACTCACAAAACCAGTTTCATATGTTAGCATGTCTATTCTGAATTTTAAAATCTTTAAGATTTTCCCACTCCTTCCTATGAAATGCACACTTGATATGGCCTGACATGCATGATCTCTGCCTATCCTTAAAACATCTCCTCCACCACTTTCTTCCTGCAATGAACATTTTTGAATCTCTTCACTGGCCAGGCTTTTTCTCCCAGCTTTCTCCCTGCCACACTTTAGGTTCATGTGGTAACAAAATCCCTCCTGTTTTCTAGTCCCCTTTGCTGCAGCTGGTCCCTCCTTGCACATCTTGCTAGTTCCCGCTTAGATGTTACTTGACGGCGCTGCCTTCACTAACCACCCGCCAGCCTGGTTAGGTTCTCCTCCTGTGTGTACTTATGACCCTGGCACTTCCTGTATCATGGTCCCCATCAAGTTTATTTTAATGGCCTTTCACTGAGGACAGGAAGAGGAGAGACAAGATCTAGGTAGATTATAGGCAGGCAGAACCTGGCTTACAATAAGTGCTCAACAAATATTTTGAATGCATTGATAAAGACTATATAAAATTTCATTGTTTATTTTAATTCACTGGCTATGAGTGTGTACATACAAGGGCTGTCTAGAAAGTATCCAGCTATGTAATAAGAAAAAAATATTAATAATGGCTGGATACTTTCTGGACAGCCCTTGGGTGTTTAGCAAACTATTTCCAGACTTCATTATAAAGTGCAGATCTAAGGATTTTTTTTTTTTTTTTTTACAGTTTTTGGCTGGGGCTGGGTTTGAACCTGCCACCTCCAGCATATGGGGCTGGCGCCTTTCTCCTTTGAGCCACAGGCGCTGCCCTGATTTAAGGATTCTTAACAAATTTGTGAGTTGTTTTCTCAAAGTCCTGAGTTAAAAACACTTTATGACATATACTATTATGTAAAGGTGCCTGGGCTGAGTGAACTTTACCTAAATACTAAGTTTAAAGTTATAATGACCAGAAAGGATAAAATCAGATAAGCAACACCCCTCTGAGAATTCACTCTTAAGGAGGTTTATTTTTTATTTGGGTATTTACACTTTGGCTAATTGCAAAGAGGCAAATTCTTTTCTAATATATTGAGAGAGCTTTCTGAAAATAAAAACTATCTCAAAAGGAAGTGTTAGGGATTGGTGAATTCATGGTTAGTGGGTTATAAATGAAAAGATCTTTTTCAGAATTTTTTTTTTTTTTTTTTTTTTTTTGAGACAGAGTCTTACTCTGTCACCTTGGCTAGAGTGCTATGGTGTCAGCCTATCTCACAGCAACCTCAAACGCTTGCGCTTAAGAAATCCTTTTGCCTTAGTGCCCTGAGTAGCTGGGAGTACAGGCATGCACCAGCTAGTTTTTCTATTTTTCAGTAGAGATGGGGGTCTCGTTCTTGCTCAGGTGTGTATCAAAGTGAGCTCAGGCAATCCCCCTGCCTCAGGTTCCTAGAGTGCTAGGATTATAGGTGTGAGCCACAGCGCCTGGCAGAAATTGGTATTTTTGAAACTTCATGATTTGATGAATAGATAGACCAGATGAGTTCTAAAGTCACTTGCAAATCCAAGCACCTTTGTTCCTATAAAATATGTATGAGAGATGAGTCATTTTATTTCCCTTTCCACCGTATCCTTACCAGTGATTGCATTTTATTAACTTCAAGAACTCATCCTTATTTTTTCGTAATCTATAATTTCATATGTTCTTCCAAAACGTACTCTAACATATAATTATTTTAAATGACTAAATTATACAGATATATTCTGCATGTCTTCAGAAAAATGAGCAGGCAAAATTGTTGGATTTGTAAAATGTGCAGAGATGAACCTAAGCGGCTCCCTTCAAAGTAAGTAGAATTTAAATTCTATCGCCATTTTCAAGCATATTCACCACGTGATGAATAGGTGTATATTTATTCAACTGCTACCCTCATAGATTTTCTTCAGAAAGTGAAATTGGCATTTGCACATGAGTAACTCCACCAGAAGGGCAGTCAGGTATGACACTAAGATTCTGTTTTCATATTCATGGTTTACACTTGAGAATTCAACAAGTTACATGTTTTTAAAGAGTCCATTATGAAGAGTCTTCCTTCTCTTTATATTGTTTAGTTTTGTATTGTTTAGTTTAAAATGAGATTCTTTCATTTAAAATCTTTTTCACAGTTCAAACCCTCCATCTACAAGTAACAGAAAGCTTCATCCCTAGATGAGGAGGGGAGATTGGAGGAGGAATCCAGTGGTTACTGAGACTCCAAGCCTCTTCAACATTTTGCCATTTTGCCCAATGTAACCATTTGGATGAGAATACTGGCTGAACTGAAATGGAAAATATAATGCCCAAGAAGGGTAACAATACATTCTAATGGTTTTTACTCACCTCACAGAATTCCCAGGTTGGGGATCCCTGTTAGGTTAACCACGGTCGCCTAACCTAGTCCATATAAAGACCTCAGTTCTGGTTGTATCTTCCCATATGGTCAGAACTCCAGGCATGCGTGCCCCTCCACTGAAGTACTGAAATGTCCAAAGATGCTCACAAGCCACTGTGTGACAGGGGAGGAGACTGCGCTGGTGGTCATACCTAAAGCTCCACATTGTAAATGACCAGCCGAGGCTGCTCAACTGCACAGAGGCATCTAAAGAAAAAGGTCTGACAGGCTAAAGAGGGTCAGCGTCCTTTTCCTCTGTCCATTTCCATGGAGTATCACTGCCAGAGCTTCCATGTCCTGATAGCTACCTTG